CAGAGGGCGTGACAGTACCAGGATGAGCCAGGAGTTTTATGGACGGATGAGACCAAAATAAATGAATACCAAAGCAACAGAAAGTTTGAAGTGTGCAGAAAGAAAGGAACTGCAGGCGCTCCAAATAACAGCACCTCATCTGTGAAGCCAGGTCTGGGGTGGGCACACATGGCATCTTCTGGAACTGAGCCTCTTGTCTTTATTAATAGTGTCACTAATAAAGGCAACACCAGAATGAAACCGGAAGTTTACAGAAACTGTTTGTCTGCTTATGTAGAAGGAAATAATTCCATACTTACAGAACAGCAAACCAAACCAAAACTTTGCAACTTCAAGAAAATTGATTTTGAAGGAGTGAGACAGATTAGGAGAAGTAAAATGAAATAACATGGATATGGAGTTAGAAGAGAATGGATGTCAACAGATTAAGCAGATTCCACTTGAAGCACAAGAGTGAGTAAATCAAAAACTAAAGCACAACATTCCAAATATTTCAACATATCAATTAGGATAAATATAAGGAGAAAGAAGACACACATAACATGCTTAATAAACAGCAGGATTACAGCTAAAGAAAATAAGTACAATGAATTGTAAGCACAGGTAAAAAAAAATCATTATTTTTCTCTTTCATTACTAGAGCAGCCATTAAGGATTGAGCAAAATGGGTCAGAGACAGCAATGGGAAATGGGAGAAAGAAATGGCTGATGCACTACATAAATATTTCACTCAGGTGAAGACAACAACATTCATAAGGTAGCGTAAGAACAAGGATTCTTTTTATTAAACAGTCTTGGCATAGAAGAGGCAAAAGTGTTTCAGGTACTTTAAGCACTGACACACATAAATAAGAAGAGAAAAGCGGGTTAACTCTTGCATAGTTAAAAACGGAAAAGCAGGCTTGCTTTCCTTTTTGGTTAAAGGTTAGATGATAGAAGAACAGTACTGCTTTCCCTTCATTAAGGTTATGTTTGCGGGTGATTCCAGTGAGGCAAGAACAGGCACAGGCCAAGTTAGGGCTGGAAAGGATTTTACATCAGGGTTGGCCTGGCCTCAAACCAACTTTCACAATTACAGACTTGTTATATTCAGGTTATACTGTAGCAAATAAGGAGCATTGACCATATGAAAGGCGCTTAAGGTGCATAGATCATCTAACGTCACAATACAAGTTAAGGGGGGCCAACTACAATAAGGTTATGAAGAGCTAAACTAGATTATTACAGCTGAACTAGAGAATCATGAGATCCTAGGAAACAGTCAACAGAAATTTAGAAAAGATAGGCCTTTCTTAACCAACTTAGAATTCTTTGAACAAGCAATAACAATATTGGTTACACACAGATTTGATTTGGTGTGTATAGTTCCCAAAGGCTTTTGATTAAGTCCTCATAAAAGATTAATTTTCAAATTACAGGAGGTAGGCATTCAGGAGAATGCATATATTCGTATTGGGAATTGGTTAATATAAAACAGAGCATACAGATAAGGGATGAATGTTCAGATTGAGGTAATTTAATTAGTGGGTTACCATTGGGATCTATATGTGGACAACTGGTCTTCCTAATATATTATATCAATTATCTTGATTCTGATAAAGTTAGTAAACAAGTCAGGTTTGTAGAATTTAGAAAAAATATATATTGAAAAAAAAGGTTCAAACACCAGAAACAACAAATAAAATTAATCAGAAAAGATCTGGATTAAAGTCAAGACTGGACAAACACCTGAAGATAATATTTAATGTAGACTGAGTTTTGCATACAGGTAGTAATATCATAATTTTAAAGAATAAAATAGGAAATGCAGAGTTAAAAATGGTACTTACGGAAAAAGAAACCTAATGTTTTGTAGACACAACATTTGTTTCTTTTAGAGAATGTGGGGTGCCATTAGCAAAGTCAAACAAAATGTTAGGATATATTGTCAAAAGCATAGACTTTAATCAAGGGATGTCATGTTAAAATTGCATAATGTGCTGACACAGCCTCATTTAGACTCTTTTAAGCACTATAAGCATCTGGTCACCATGTGACAAAAAATATATAATGTCTCTGGAATTCATTCAAAGATGAGTGACCAGATACATTCAGGCATTTAAGAGAATGCCCTTAACTGACAGACTGAAGGAAAGAAAAATGATCCCCTTTTATTCTTGAATAGAGAAGAATGATATGGAACCTGATTCAAGAATTAAAATCCACAAATGTCTACTGGACTCCTTCAGACTAAACAGTGAATCATGAACCAGAGAACACAAGTGGGAATAAGCATTTAAAACTGAGTTCAGGACACAGTTCTTCACACAAGGTTTGGAGGGATTTGCAACAGGTTATTCAGGAACATTTTCTTAGATTAAATTTGAGCTTCTTTCAAGGAAGGACTGGATTAGATCCTTGAATTTACCTTATGAGTTTGATGGGATGAACTGCCTTCTTGTGATTTGTCCTGTTTCTTAGTCTACTGTAGAAAAGGCATAGTTGTTGCCCTAGATACCCTGTACATGATGTTTGCAAACCTTTACAATAAATAGGACACAGTGCAGGAATCATGTTTAGCAAAACGAACATATTTAAAATACTGCAAGTATCATCAGATAATTTATGAAGACACACTCCCACACTATCTTAAAATGAACAACTTTCTTTATTGACTGTAAGCGGAACCTACATTATGCGGACATGAATTAAAACCAAGACCAGGAGACCCTTCCTCCTGTGGAAGTCCTATGGAGTCTGATACAGCCATGATGTTAAAACAATGCCCTGCCTTCTCTCAAGAAAGGAATTCTGAAGTCAATTAAATGCTAACTACAAAGTAGGTTAGATGGGTCAAATAGCCGTGTATCATTTGTGACCTTTCTTATGTTCTTTCCTGGTAAAAGGAGAATAGATTGGACCACTGTTACACTGAGACAACATCCTCATCAGTGTCTGCAGTACATTATAAATGAGGAGACAGATATCTATTCAGTGTTGCACAGATAACAGTGAATCTAGGGAGTACAGGAAAGAAGAATGAATTCTACTGCTCTCTCTACCATCCACTATGTACTGTACATGAAGTTTTAAAACTCATGGTATTGTATAGATTTATACATTTGTGTAATATGAAAAAATAACTGCTTTTTAAGCCTATACACGAGAGACATCTGTAGACAAAAACTGTGTACATGGGTCAGATGTTTGACTTTAAATACAAAAACAGTGGCTTCATATATTATTATATCTTATTTTACACTTTATTTTTAATATAATTTATAAAATCATGTCTGATCATTCATAAGACATTAAATTGGCTAATATCTTCAATTTGTTAAGAAACACAAAGAATTACCTTGCTGTGAAAATAACAGAGGTAATGTTTTCAAACAGTCAATAAATCAAGTAATAGGTTTATTCCATGCTGAAAAGAGAAGAAAGAAAACACATTTCGGCCGTGGAGCCTTCTTCAGGTGTGAGGGTGTGTGCTCACACCTGAAGAAGGCTCCACGGCCGAAACGTTGTGTTTTCTTTCTTCTCTTTTCAGCATGGAATAAACCTATTACTTGTTCCTTTGCAGCCTACGCATGCTGAAGCAGCTACCCACCTGAACTACTACGGTCAATAAATCAATATGCAGTACCTAATCAGGGAAACTTCTTAGTAAGGGCAGAATTAATAGCGTTGGACTGTTTTACTAAGAGTACAGTTATCTCAGATGTACAAGATAACATTTTCATGAGGATCAGATAATGGCCATTCCAAACGAAATGTGTTACATAGGGTCCCACTGCACACAGATTGAAACAGTTCTAGAATTTAGAACACCATTGGAACTCCTAGTACACAGCAGAAGTTAGTATTTACTTACTATAGAAAAGATGATTGACGAATCAATGCCAGCTCATTGGCTATTTGACTTTTGTTATTGTCTGCTGTACATCTTGGTATTTTACAACTTTAAGTGTAGCACATACTGGATTTGTTACACTGTAAATGTTGTCAATCTGTTGCACTGCTGTTGAAGACATACAGAATGTTGTTTACTGCTGATAGCAGAACACAATGCAGTGCAGCTCATCTTTTGCTGGTAATCACTGTTTTCGGATGAAGCAGGGTAAACAGGTTGTTATTGTGATAATGCAAAGTTTGAAATGTGGGAACATTGCAAGATTGCATTTTTCCTTCTACAGTTCAGTAAAAAAATAAAGGAATTTTCCACAGCTCCTGTGCCCTTCCCCCACCTCACAAAACAAAGCTGGCCTGAGAATCAACTGTAGAGCCCATCCAAGGTGAAGAGAAGCACAGTGCAGGAACCAAAGGTGAGAGAATCACAGGCACATTTTATTCACCACAGGGGGGTGATCTCAATGTGTAACAGAGACATTGCTTGCCTGCCATCCCTGTCCCCCATGAACAATCTGTAGGGCTAAAATATTTCAAATTGGTTTCCTCTCAGTCCACTCCAGGGCTTACTTTATATACCCTGCAAGATGAACCCAAATAACTCCATTTTCACGTCAGCACTTCCTGTCGCCTGAGCAAATGCAATCATATCCCAAAAAGTTTGAGGTTTTGCCCAGCTTGTCCTTGCTGGATCACTCAGGCTGAGGAACATTGAGAAATATATGTAATATGAAATTCATTCTTTCTCAGCAACTTTTCAAATTACAGCACTGGTTCTTTCTTTTTTTTTTCTCCCTCAGGGTGTGCACAGCGTTTTGTCATGAACGTGCTAACTGAGGTTACATATGTGGGTATTCAGTACTCTCTAGGGTTCTTGTCTGGGTCCATTCAAAACCAGCTTGGTAATAAAAAAGCAATTCCTTTACTCACAAGGATACCATTTCTCTTCTGCAGGACACACTGCTATCATTGCTTCATCAAGTTATTTTTTTTTAAGGAAATGCACGAACTCTACGAAAAATGCCATCTGCCATACTGCCAAAACAATAACTACCCGGATGTGACAAAAGAGCATCTTTAATTTCTCTGGAAAACACTGAACCTGAATCACACAGAGCACATCTGACAACACCCTGATTGGCAGCTGTGATTAACATACCTACTTCTCGCTAATGAGACCACCCTTAAAGAATACGTCCGTTAACTATGACAAAATCTGGACAAAAATGGAATTCAGAAGCTTGTTGCAAAATCGGAATAAGACACTCAGTGCACCTTCTGGAAGCAGAGTCTATATTCCTCTGATGTCGCTTTTGAATGTATCCATTTTAACGTGTTTCATTACTTTGGCCGGTGATACTTACATTTCAAATAGCTATAATGGGAAAGGAAGGATATTTTCTCTTGTTGTGGTTATTCTCTAAATTCTCGTGTACGATTAAGTCAGATACTGTAATGAAAACGTGCAGCGATTAACTTTAAAAACCAAAATACCGCTTCAAAGCTTTTTTTTTAGAAATCTGTATGAAAACATTAATCAGTATTATAGCACCTTCGACACCTCAATTTACGGCCTCCGTCTCCGTGAGTAGTTGGAGTAATAAGAATAGTAATAACGATAATCATCATAATAATTTAATACAAAATGCTGTTCAAATGAATATGCTGCTTGTTGTCACAAATGAAACGGATAATGGTGTCTTACCGCTACACTAAAAAGCCAACGCATTACTAAAAAATATGCGTCTTATACAATAACCAGGAATTGTTTTTTTTCAGTCCAAGTTATGTTCACAACCATTTTTGTCAAGCGTAACAAATCCTTGATTAAGTCAGATATTTTTTTATCCTTTTCACGGAATTTAAGCGGTCTGTTTCCTGAACATTTCAGGACATATTCGACTTCTTGATTTATTTTCTTTTGTATGTTAACTTCATTAAATGATCTCGGCTGCTTTGTGTACGTCAGACCTTAAACAATAAATGGAAAATCACAAATAGTACATTTTGTAAAACAATATCTGTTAAACCTCAGAAAACGGCAATCGGCGGCTGTGTTATCTATGACTAATAATAATAATAATAATAATAATAATAATAGATAACAACTGTGGATTGCAAAATTCGATTCCAGTTCTAAGACAATTCAATTAATACATCGAATATTTTTTTTGTTTTCCTTTATTGGTTAAGTAACTAAATTACAGAACAAAACAATGCTACTACACATAGGGGAGGCTGGTTCGACAGATACCGAAGCCACTTCCACAATGCTATTTTATAATACAAAGCGACAAAATATTGTATTTATAGACATATCGACACAGATTAATATAAATTGGAGAGACTCCCCGTTATAAAGTGTATCCTAGAGTAACTGCATTTTTTCCCATTTTCTTTAATTAGAAGTGTTGATATGGTTATTGAAAACGAAATATTTCTTGCTTTCTTTCCGATAATGTAAAGCTTATATAAAAAAATACAGTGTAGTCTGCAATATGGTTTAATTTAATTATAAAGGTGCATAATTATAATAGATTAATGTAAACAAAAATAATTATCGTCAGTTGAATATTTGTGTTATTTTAATGATTGTAATGAATCATTTCACCCGGATCATCGTTGGCGAAGACCGTCATTGCGACTTTAGGCCCGTCTTCACCTTTCTTTCGCTTTTTATTAATTGCCACAAGGTGGCAGACGTGGTTACAATATTACTCTGCAAGGACCGGAGCAAATGCAGTTGAGCAATTTAGTTTAAAATATATTGCTTCGCAACATAAATCTAATCGAATAAGCAATAGTACTGCTGAGAAATGGAATTTGGGTTTGCGAGGAGTCAATATGCTCCACACTCATTCAGGACAGATCAATACGGTGGATGTTTTTTATACAACGAATAAAACATATTAATCTGTTTGATCTTACATATTCTATACATTGGTCGATGCCAATAACAAGGCCTGCGCCTGCATGTTGGTCTGACACTTACGTCACAGATACTGAACACTTATATGCAAGAGCAGCTGCAGTATTTTAAAATAATCGAATTTACAATGGAATATTTTAATGATGCCCTACAACATACTATCTACTATAGCATCTGTACACCATGATGTGGATAGTATTATAATTTAAAGATCTATTTTTAACCATAAGCTATATTTTACTCCTCAGATGCGACCTTTCTAAAAGAAACAAATCTAAAATTATTTAGATTAAACGTGGTTAAATGTTTAATAAACTGACGCAGATTGCAATCCTAAAATTAACATGTACTACCACTGTAGTCTAAAATAGCTGTATTCCTATTTATTCCACTTCATTTAATATATATTTACATGTTACAATACACCCCAAAAAATGTTTTTATATAACGAGAATTAAAACCTGTAAACCTCAGAAACGGCAAAATCTAAATCTACCTAGATACCATGTTCTTATTAAGTGGGTTTGCGAAGCGCATTATACGCTCCTTTGAAGCATTAAATATTTTCAGACATTTCGTATATATTAGTGTTTAGAATTATATCACATGTATATGTTAGTTTTCTGTTCTCAGACGGATTACTGCATCCTGCTCAAAATGGTTACACAGTAGAAACATTTCGTTGATAAATGTTTCAGCACCAAGAGACGGGGACAGCTCTCTATTCTGTATAACACGCCTGCTATTTTTTTGCACTTGAAGATCTTAAGGCCACAGCCTCCTGCCGAACAAACGCCGAGCGACACATATTTGCCTCGTCCTTGTTTTTTTCTACACATGAACACCACATGAATATTTTGTCATTAACGCAGCATGGGACTGAATGAATTAATTCTCAAGGGCATTAAAACAGCTCGCCCATTTTAAAAGACCTTACTCGTAATAATTGCAGACAAAAAAATCGTCATATTTCCATGCTTCATTTTATTTAGAGAGAGAGAGAGACCATGGCTTACAGAAGAAATGAAAGAAAAAAAAAACCGGGACTATCGTCTCACGTCCTTTCAAAGGCGTTTTGGTGTCTCTTTGGTGGCAAGTTTTAAGGAGCCCGAGGTGGAGGGTGAAGGCTCCGCTCTTGGCATTCACCGCGTGCCTTAATTGTATGACATTAAATCAAGGTCCGCTGTGAACACGGAGAGCCAGAGTCTCAAATCGTAAGGCATGAAAGCAAGTCTCTGCGTCATTAGAGTAAGTGCTGCCTCTTTGTGTGCGAGGGGTCAGAGAGGTCCCGCACAGTTATACAGCACATTGAGTGGGAAATACACGAATCCCCGAGTTTGTGGAGAACACGGAATCTCTCGAACGTCCGTGGTGTCCCAAGCTTTCCGTCTGCGGCACTGAAGAACGAAAAGAGTCACGTCAATCCGTATCGTTTCGTTTTATTTCCCTGAGACTCTAGAACGAAAGGAAACCGATATATCATATTTCCTTGTAATGCAGAGAATAAACTTAATAGCCCTTTTCTATCCCAAGGGGCTACCAAGAGCCCATCTGGCCTCGCATTTGTTATACTTCGCAATAAACGGTCAAACTCCCCGCTATATCCCACTATTACTTTGTTTAAGTGTCTGATGAAGCAAAACAGATGTGAGACGGGGATTACCCGTTTTAAAAGACCATTAATGATAGGCAGTAGAATTGGGGCCGGACAGGCTGAGCTCCAAGTGTTGAAGAGTTAAAGTCATCATCACCAGTACTGAATCTTAGGAGCTCAATTGAAAATTATAGACACCCCGAATCCAGTTTGGGGGAAAGGGGGCGGTCCAGCCGATGCGCTTCAAAGGATGGCTGCTCCGGCAAAGAAGTATCAGCGAGACGGTTCACTCGTGTATTTCCCATAAAGGACCTACAAAAAAAAAAGAAGACAAAAAAAAGCTTCATTAAGGCGGAAAAGCACCCGTTGCATGTAACTGCTTCCGTAAACAGCGTTAGCAAGAATTACATTATAACCTACACGCAAATACAGTACACTGGTTCATGAGACATTCATGGGTTAAAAAAATACAGTTTTCCTAATGATCCTGGAAAAACGTCAATCACAAAATCCGAATTCGTTACCGAGCCACATTGTGCGGGGCGAAAAATCAGCACGAAAGCACCGCGTTAAATAAGACTTGGCAATTTCGAGTTGAGGAATTTGGAAAATCATTTTGAAATGAAATCGAGAGCCCGAGCAAGGGTTTGTGATTGCAAAGAACGCAACATTCTGCATTTCTGCTTCAAATTAGGCACATTCGCGGACCCAGCTCCACAAATATTCCATCCACAAGGCGTATAAAACACTCAAAGCAACGTTTTCTCCCCACAATCCGTATTCGCACTGAGGCAGTACATTAACGTCTTATCCATTTGGAGACCTTTTTATGTGACTAGGCTCAGTCTCTGTCCCGTCTTTTCCCCTTGCCTGCTGATCCAGACTTTGGGATTAATGGCTCTCCAGGCAAACAAATAAGGCATCTGCCTTCAGCACAAGAGGATTACATGGGGGGTTGGTGACGTCACCGGGCAGACAGATGTTTGCTACCAAAGTCCCGATCATCTCCCTGTGTCCTTGAAACTAAAGCGAGCACATCCAAATCCTTATTTCAACCTGCTCAGGATACTCTTAAACCCATGCAAAGACCAGAATACTTGCAAAATGTTAAGGTAACGTGTGTATGCAGATACATATTAAATTAAACATTTTAACATTATATAGAATAATGTATGTCTGTCTACGTGACTATGCACGTATAAAAATCAGAAATGTGAAATCAGCAATTATTCAGCTTGGCTGCACTGGAGGTAAAAGGAATCCATTTAAAGTTAACAGTTTTCGGGCAAATTCGATGTTACAGACATAGAAAAGGGAAATTAAAGTAGATTTTCAAATGACAGCGAACTTGCCCCAACCCCACAAAACGCCAATTTTTCAGCATTTTTTTGTGCTTATCAAAAAGGCCACAAAGAACGTTTTGTATCTGAATTCAAAAACAAAATGACCACCCCTGAACTTTGTGTTTGTGACGAATTCAACAGCCATGCTTAAATGTATGCTACGTATTTTACGTGTGGCAAGTGGAGAGTGGATGGTTTTTTTTTCCAGAAAACTACATGGAAGAGTGGTGTTTTTTGCATCCGCAGCCATGTATTATATAGCAATATCGGTATAGTGCATTCCATATAGAATATTTATGCACGAGACAGTTTGGTTTAACGGTTTACATGGAAATTTAATTGCACTGGACTTTAAATGATTCAGATGGATAATTATTTGAAAACCAAACTGTCCACGACGAAACATTTTCGTTCACGGACATTTGAGACCTGGCTTTTCGTTTAACTGCGTTTCGCTGTCCATGGTTTTGAAAAGCTCCCCGTGACATTCAGAACAACAACAACAATGCAACACTTTCGGTGAAATGGGAAAAAGGTCCAAACTAAGCAAAACATATATATTTATATCTCACAGAGAATGTGTTATTTAAGATAGCTCATACGTCAGCTGTATAAATTATGAGATGCTTTTAAAAAGAGAAGATGGTGAAAATATACATATATTTTTGGGGTATCATTCTGATCAATAATAATAATCATAAAAATAATAATGTATGCGTACATAGCCTTTCAAGACTTCTCCGGTATGATCATGTGGGATGAAGGACTGCATCACTTTAAGTTGACATTGTTATAGCCAAGCTGCAAGCTGGGCAGTCTTCTGGGAAAACCAAGAATAGCATAGAACTGTATGTTTGAGCGTCTACTTATTATGTTTATTGGTAAACTATTGGCTACCATTTTTAAAACGATATAGCTTAGTATTCACTATTTTTGCCATAGACATCTTATTTAAACCTAGTTTAAATATTTATTAATCAAATATATTAAGATGGAAAAATTAAAGTTCAAATACATTGATTTAAATCTCCATTTTGATTTACATATATGTTCCCACATTTTAGATACATATCGTCACATTTCCACAAAGAGGTACCAGCAATTAAATAATGAAGGTATATATATATGCACAGATAAAATTGTATATTTACTTAAGTGAATAAATTACCGTATTGTTAGATAATTACAAAACAGAATACGCTTTATCACATTCGAATGTAATATTTTTAAATGATAAGTAATACAGAAATATTGATAGGCAATGAGATGACCGGAAGAAAATGGTCGGAAAACAATAGCCCTCGCCATTTTTTAAAAAAAAAGACCATCTCAGGCTTCACAAAGACAAACCTGCCGATCTACAGATTTAAAGATCACTAGCTGGTCTCCAATAAACAGACATGTAAAATATAAGTGTCAGAAATTTTATAACGCACTGAAAGAAATTCAGTTGGCCGAGTAATGTTTTTTTTTCTTATTGTCCGCCAACTAAAAGCGATAGAAATACTTCACCCTGAAGGACCATGCATTGAGCCACATTGGTAAGTTACAAAACCGATTAATGGACTTCCCTTACGTTGAATATGAAAACATACGTTAATTAATCTCAACCTGTTAATTGCACATCTGAAGCATTCATTTCGCCAATCTCGTTTTTTTTTTTTCGTGGAACTAGAAAACCGGGACAAGTGTAACGTGGGCGGTCTACCCTCGATGCAACACACCGCAAATCTGTAAAAGGTCAAATATTTCATCAAAGCTCGGTGTCTGTCTCGTTTTGAAGAATGCAATTTCAAACCAGGACGCACAGTTACGAAGAAACCGCCTGAGCATATGCTCGATTTGAAAATAATATAAATAGGAATAATCTGTACTTACGGGCAGTGGATTAGTAGTTTGATCGTCCATACCCATCTAGCTAATCCTGCGTAGTCGTCTATCCCATATCCATAGCGTTTTCTTATAAATTTTATTTCGGGAGAATCAATTGCATTTCCTACGTCTTCTGCGGACACATTTCACATTCATAAAAGACAAACCCCCTGGTTTTGCGACTTGCAGATTGTGCTTCTGAGTCAGGAGCTTTGGGCTCAGCAAAGCATGGCTGCTTTTTTTTCCAAAAGAGGGCAGGTCGTTGCATGCATTACAATGAGTTAACCCCCCCTCAAACTCACACACATCACTAAAATGGTATGTGAGGTGGAGCTATCAACCCCGTATTGTCTATATGGACTTGAACAATTTTTCGTGATTTTTTTTGTCTAACTGTGAAGTCATTGAACGTTTCAGATTCGCTTAGTTTGTGAAAGTGCTTCATTTGTGCCTCCTGATGATCGGTCTGTCTCTTTTACCAATGCTAATCTGATATCATTGCACCTTAATTCTGTAGGTAATTTGTCAAGTACCTTTTACTATCCCGATATGTCATAATTTGGTTAAGAAATGAATTTGTCAATCAACAATTCACCCCCCTCTTCGAGTTCCATTAGCCGTGTTTGAAAATTTTCTAAATATTGATGGACATTTGTTAAATCCAACTGAATTTGTCCAAAAGGATTGAGATCTTGCGCTCGACGAGATTAATAACATCTAAATAGCATTTTATTTTGGATTAGTAAAGGAAATGAAAGAATCTAATCCAATGCGATTACACAGATTTCTATTATACTTTTTTGTCAGAATCATTATGAACGTGTATAAAGTCTCTTTTTCAGTATATTAAATCAGTTTCTATCTACCATCTCACCTACCTACCCCACAGTCTATAACAGTATGTCTGTTTAGAGTGACCCGTAAATCAAGTATAAATCTCTACTATGATCTTCTCTGTGTTGAGTCATATCAATGTGAATCATCGTTTTTATATATAAATCAATTTATATCATGTTTATTCATGTCATATGTTCCTTCTCATTAACAAAAGTTCTCTCAATTAATTCATTTCCGAACTGTTCCGTTTAAAGTAGCCAAATTATATAATATTTTTTTCAATCATACAGTACATATTCTGAACTGTATTATTATGCATTCAATGCAATTGGCAGTTTAACAGTTTGTCTTTATAACACTAATTTTCATAAAGGAATTTCAAATACAAATGTAACATGTTTTGTTATATCTTGAAAAAGAAACACTGAATTTAATTTAAATCAACGTTAAAAGAGTCGATTTTTGACTCGCCAAAGGATTTGAGAAAATACATCTTTGCTAGGATTATTTAGAAATGTTACACTGCCGTCTTGGAATTTTAAAACTGAGTCAACGAGCATGAAACAAAAACATTACTAGCCCGTGATTTTAGAGGCATGCTAAAACCGGTAAAAGAGAAGTGGTGAAATGCTGTATATTCCATCTTTAATTTTTGACACAAGAATTCTGTCACTTTACGGATTAAAACAAACGTGTATCAAAGTATGCGCTCGCGCTGTCTTTAATACAGTATATTTATTTATTTTGTAAACAGAAAATATTGCGTGTCAGATGTCCCGCAAGCAAAACAGTTCTTTAAATAAAACGAAGGCTATTTAAAGAAACGTAATATACGTTATCGTTTATAAAGAAAAAGATGGGAAAAGGGCAATGCTTTGGATTTGAAAAATGACCAAAATAAAGCCGGCGCAGCGGTGAATTAATAATTTATTGATGTAACTGCCACCATCGGCTCTTTTAATGTACCTTTTTTATTTTACTGCTTGATATTGTTTCGTATGGGTAACGTTTTTAGTGCAAACACATAGCCTATCGCTATGCTGCGACTGAAAAAAAAAAACAACTGACGCATCATAAACTGCTCTTTACGCAGCATTCTGTGAGGAGACTTCTGACCGACTATAAACCAAACCAATCTAGGACACCTCGCGATAACTTAAAAGGGCTGCATGTTTGTCAGATGTATTACTGCACAGTTTTTCCTGTTCCATAGGACTTGGGTCCTATGTATATACATTTATCACTCATACAATATTTTCACTTTTTTAGGTAAAAGAGGTTCTTTTATATTTAGTTCTGATTTCATTTTTTACCCTTACCATGGATTTTTATGTGCTGTACTATTGTCATTTGGACCCTGGTGTCATCAGTTATTTATAAACATATAATACTTATTTATACATTATGGTATGCCTATAACGACACCAGATAAGTTAAGGACAGACCCAATTCCAACAATAGCATACTTTCAAAATTAAATCAGGCTATAGGACTACATGTACAGTATTTAGAAGGCTGTCTTCTAGGAAGGCCGTCGTATTTCGCTCAATAGACGTTGACATGATTGATTTTTTTCATAAAATACGACATTTTTGTATTTACTGAAGCATCAGACATCTCAATATTCCACTTTAAAATTCTGCGATCACACAGTTGCTTTGCCGCCGCAATTGCTTTAAATAACACTAGCACTCTTGATCTCGATACTAAGAAACCTGATGCTTCAAGACAATGCCATCGTCGACACGGAGATGCAAGCGAAATACTTTAAGGTGTTAAGCGGGATGAATGATAGTTAGCTAAATGTAGGGAAACAACATTAAAGGAATTTTAAAGAGCTTACTTTCCCTGGGAAAAAACTCCATTGTTGCGGTTGAAACAATTGGAGCTGTGACCGACTGCAGTGGTCTAGGGATGAATGGGGAAGCCACAGGATGTGTGCGGGTCATTGCCTGGGGTCTTCGTCCCAGAGCCCTTTTCCCAGCTCGCCACAATGAACACGCACAAGGTAGAGGCTCGGCGGGGTCACAGGGCAACCCCCATTGTGCCGTACTTCAGAACAGAAAAAAAAACATTTATTAATCAGCACTGACCAGAAGCCCCTCGGCCAAAAGAGAAGACTACAACGGAGTGAGAGAAAAAAAAAAAGCAATGCTTCATCAGCCACTCCAGATGCGAGAGCTATCATTAGGGCCACTTGTTCGGCTAGCAAAAGTTTGTAATAAAACATTTTACAAGTTAAAAGGGATTCCTTCTCACACAGAGGATGAAGAAGAACGCCGCGTCAAGTAAGGAATACTTTTAGGACCAATAACAATGCACAAGGTAGCATATTTGTGTTGGCAATTTGATTTAGCAAGAATTGTTTTGTCGAAGATTGTTTTGTATGTACAGTATATACTGTACAGTACCTCTTATAGATCATGCAGTATAGATAACGTTATACATGTTCCATAAAGCCACATTCAAGTCAATATCAAACCCGACAACTAGGCAGAGTCTAGCTGTGTATACTGTGTCATAATATCCCAAGCACAAAGCATGTGATGTTGATTTTAATGTTGCAGAAAGATGGGTTGAGACTTTTAAGAAGTTGTAGAAAGCATAATCTATGTTGAACGAATTGAAACCGAGTACCTTCCTTCGAGGAAAACCAAGTAACATTTGCAAAGATCTTTTTGTTATAGCCTCTCTTTTCACCATACTATAAGCGTTGCTGCTATGAGATTGACCCGGTGACAATGAGATTGGCCTCTACATTTAAAATAAACATTAAGATGTGTATTAAACTGTACGACAGTTAATTCAGTTACGATGAACTGGGTTCGTTAATGTTGCGTACATATTGTGCGCTTCACATTAATGTAGCTGTAATGCTTTCGTTATTGAGTTTAAATGAATTTACTGACGTTTTCAGATTTGCTTCAGTTCATAAGGCCTTTGGTCTTAGACCTATTTTCAATGGTTAACGCACAGTTCATTCAACGTCACGATAGCACAACGAAATATATCCGGTCCTGGTGGGTAGATATTGTGAGTTAGCATTTGTATGTTTGTGGTTATAACGTTACGTGTATGTGTTCTGTATGTAATAATATACACAATAATACATAGAGGGACTCCTATATAAAATGACAATGAAGACAACTGCAGTATAAGGTGCAGAGGTGGAATATCATGGCTTCTACTGACACCTAGAGAACAAGCAATGTTTAAAAAGTGAGGATATGCTCCAAGTGTCGTGTGACACTAGCTACACGTAATATACTGTATGTCCTTTATCAATGAACTTATTTAAATATAGGGTTATATTTCTAATAGTTCGTAGTTTTAGAGCGTTAGTTTCTATGCAAAGGAAGCGATATTAGACATATCCACATTCCGTCTTATTGATCAATTTTTAAATGTTTTATTATGGTAAAGTTTGATATTAATTTCTAACTTCGAAATTCAAATATTTGTTGTATACATTCTAATAGGACTATACCATGTATTAAACATTAGAGCTAATATTATCAGGTTGAAAACATTTTTAACATGTTAATACCGTTTACCGACGCATAAATTATCACTCATATTCTTATACTTTAATTATTAGTGGTGGTATAACACAGTCTTAATTTAGTTTGTCACACAATTTGTAAGTCAAGAAGAATAAATTTGAATATAATATGTCGTTACACATCTGTCAAAAGCATGGTCATAATATTGATTTTAAAATCATTGCTTAATTCCGAGTCGCAGGAGGATAATCTTTCAATAAGCACCGATTAACAAAATACGATTAAATGTGTTTATTTACTGTACTTTGTGTAGTAAAAGGTGCGATTTAAAAACAAAACAAAACGCGTTTTACCGAAAAAACACGTATTATAGCGGATTCTGCGAAGATACTGTACCTAAAGGATATACTCGTTACATAAGCAGTATGGTGGATACAAACCGGATAATAGTTCTTCACGTTTTGGCATAGTTATCACACACACACAAAAAGACAGGTGAACTGAGCATTTTTGCATTACACTCGACGTTATTAAATATAGATATGAATATTATTTGTTCATTGTGCAGGGTAGAAAATTTAGCTATTTAACTACCTCTGAGATGGGATATTTCTAAGTGTTATCTGTCTTTTTAATTTCAGGATACATCGTGTTATATTCAACTGTACCTATATTTTGGGCTGTTGTATGGGAGGTCATTCCTTACCTGATGTCTTCCCAGCAGGTCAAAATGTTTCTATCGCTCTGGAGTCAGCTGCTTCTACTGTATCTTTACACCTTTTACTTAACCCGGACACTAACAGTCAATGTTGTATTGTAGAATAAATTGATTAGC